AATAAATGGCAACTGATTTCGAGGAGTATACAAAAAAGATATTAATATTTAATCAGTGATATGTCAGAAAATAGGACAGCATATTTTGTCCAAAATTGCTTATGTTAGACAACTTTGAAAAGTCGCTATAAATTGTACAAGTGGAACCAGATGAAGTAACTTATATGGTTAGATTTTTATTCGAGTATAGTTTTTATTGGTTCAAATGGAATAATTTTTCAATATATAGATTAATACAAAATAATATTTCTTTGCATGTAGTGCAAACTGCCAGAATATGAAATTTCAATAAATTATGTAGTGGAAGCAATTTTTTTTAAGCTTAGTGAGGCTTATATTTGATTTATAAGTAAAATTTTCAAATGAGTTTAGTTTATTTAGTTAATTACTCTGATCGAGGATGACTTGCGATTAGTCAACTTCATTTTATTTTCCAGTATGATTTATAAATTTTCAGTATAAAATATTTCTATAATATTTTTCATCAGGTTTTGTGAATGATTTTGAGTATGAACTGCCCAAGTATGATATTTATGATGATGAATTCTAAATGTTTACATTTATCAGACAATTTCAAAGTTATTAGATATTTACAGTTATCAGATGATTGCCAGTTATTAGATATTTATAGTTATCAGATGATTTTCAGTTATCAGATATTTTACAGTTATCAGACGTAGATTACTAAATGATTCTATGATGATAAATATAAGCCCATTGTATGTTGCATTGAGAGTCGTAGGTACATTTGGCATGCCATTGAGTGAATGCTTATCAGTTATCAGTTCAGCTTTGGTACATTCGTGTGCCAATATTCAACACCGTTGGTGCTCAGGTTATGATTGCACTGAAGTGCATCATATCACAGTTTCAGTTATGATTTGACACCGTGTTGTGCCTAGTGCTCACCTTATACTCACGTACATGTATTCTCTTACATATACATTGGACTATAACAGTAAGTGAAAATGTTATGACAATATATAAAAGAAAAGAATATAGAATTAAAAAAAAGGTTATGAAATATGTTCGAATGAAAAAAATAAGTTATTTATGATATTTGATGATGACTTACATGATTTTTGACAAAATCATGAGAGGATGATTTTCAGGTTTTCAGAAGGAAAAAGGCCTGACTAGCCCAGTTTGAAGTTTTAAATGTTTTTATTTAAAATTGTAGTTTATTGTTTATATTTTATGGATTTTATGTTTTAGTTATACTTCTGCCTCACTGAGTTTTACTTAGTGCGTGATGATTTTCATGCGTAGGTTCGAATAAAGTAGTAGACGTGAAGTGAGGAACTTGCCAGCATCTTATTGAAAATCAAACCTACCGACAGTACCAGTAAGACATCCTAACTTTGACTTATTATTGGCATGTATATTATATATGTTGGGTTGCTTTATAGATTTATTTTAAAAGGGTTTGTAATAGTAATTAGGGTTGTTTTCTTTAGTTTTGTCTAATTTTAGTATTAATCATATTTATGAGTGAATAGTATAAATATTATATTTTAAATGGTTTAAAATCAAGTGGTATTAGACAGTTGTATATGGATATGAAACAAACTGAATTGCCTAATTATTGATTGAAATCAGTTTTGTTTTCAATGATCAAATAGTATTTTATAAATTTTTATGATTAAGGAAAAATATTTTAAAGTTAGAAAGGAAAATATTAAATGAAACAAAATTTTTAAGCATTTAAGTTCAACAAATGTCGGTTGAGTTGATGTGACATCTTTAGCTCGTATTACGAGACATATACAGGCTAAGTGTGTTATAGTTTTCAAGAACTCCTTCAGGATAAATGACGGATCGATCAGCGTGCTGAATCTTTACTCTAGTTTCCTTTAAATGCTCAGCAGAAAGTGATTTGTAAACATAAAGAGGCATAACATTTATAGAAGCACCAAATCAAACATAGATCTTTTAATGCTTACCTTACCGATTTTACAGGGAATAGAAAACATACCTTGGTCCTTTAATTTTAGTGGAAGCCTACATTGAAATATAGCTGATACGTTCTCACTTAAATTTATATTCTCATGACCGATAAGTCTTCTTTTCGTAGTGCAAAGATTATTCAAGAAATGAGCGTACCTCAATATCTTTCAGATTACATCAAGAAGTGGTATATTAATCTTTACCTTCCGAAAAATATCAAAAATCTAATTATCCTTAGATTTTTTAACTCGTTTAACCAATCTTGATGGAAAGGAGGTGGCGTCGCATAGGGAGAAATCGTAGGAGAGGGTTGTGATTTATCCTTCTTTTTCCTCTAAGATCTTGCTTCAACTTCTTCTTTCTGGGATTCTGCGGAACATTTTTTTCTTAGGAAATTTCGACATCATCTTTAGGTATTGGTGCGATAATAGTTCCATTATGAAGGGTGATGACACTAATGTTTTCTCGTGGGTTATCCTCGGTTTGAGATGGTAGACTTCCTTGCGATTCTATTCGTCCCACGGTTTGAGCCAATTGGCCCAATTGGGTCAAATTAGGGGACGAATGTAATCAGACTCTTGTAGATATGCCTTATTCCTTTGTTGAAACTTCTTTTGGGATAACGTCTAACGTTCGACGATGAACTCTAATCATAATGTCGGCGATTGGTACGACTATTGTAGAGGTGGCCTCGGTTGATATGGCTGACTTGTTCTAGGATTTTGTGCATAACTGAAGTTCGAATGATCCCTCCACCCCAGATTATAGGTATTTGCATAAGGATTGTAAGGTATCTAGGAGGTCATGGAAAACTGTCAATTGCATTTGCTTGTGTGGTAGTGTCTTCTTGTAACATTAGACAACAATTCATGGAATGATCTGACCTTGTGTGTATTTTGCACAAAGTCTAGTGATACCTATTTTGCCTGCAACAAGATATTGAACAATATCAACCAACTTATCAATTTTATTTTCCAATGAATTTGTACTTATCTCGTGAACCCGACGAGTAGGTTCACTGTAAGAGTCAAACTATTAAGAGTTAGCGGCAATGGTAGAAATTAGATTTCTACCAGCAAGTGGAGCCATATTCACAAGTGCTCCTCTACTAGTTACGTCAATCGTCTTCATCTCCAAAGGAAGTAGTCCTTTATAGAAATATTGGAGGAGAGTATGTTAGGTTAACTCGTGCTGTGGACAGCTAGCACAAAGTTTCTTGAATCGTTCCCAAAAGTCGAATAACGACTCTCTATCTTTTTGTCAGATTCCTAAGATGTTTCTCCTTAATTCACTCGCCTTTGCCGCAATAAAGAATCTGTCAAGAAAAAGACGAGTCATATCAGCCCAAGTAGTAACAAAATTAGGTGGTAAGTAAAAATAATCAATTCTTAGCCAAATCGACCAAATTAAAAAGGAAAAGCACGAAGTTTAATCTGATCCTCGGATACTCCATGTGGTTTCATGCTAAAACAAACCATATGAAATTCAGTAAGGTGTTTGTGAGGGCTTTCACTCGGTAATCCATGAAAAGTAGGTAGAAGATGGATTAATTCGGGTTTGTTGAATTGTGTTTCTCTATTCGAGAAAGTGACACATAACAATCGTTGTTTGGCAGGTGCCTTAGCTAATTGTCAGATGGTTTGATCAACCATTAGATTCAGTTTTGCTTTTTGTAGGGATTCGTTGTCAGAGGTGGCGTCAATTTCAGATGTTGTGCCTAGTGTTGGTTTAGGTTCGTTGTGTTGTTAAGTTTTCGAACGTGAGCTTTGATCTCAAGTTCAAATTCTACTAGCTCTCCTGAGTTACTCCTAATCATAAATCAAAAACAAATTTTAATCAGTAATTTTGCCGAAGTCCTCGACAACGGTGCCTAGATTAAAGTGAGATGAATTTAAATGTTGATAAAATTGTCAACAAACTATTTGTTCTTCGATAAGATGCTTTTTTAATATCAAATTTTTAGCATCAAGTTCAAAGCTGGAATTATATGCGTATAAACCCATTTCGTTTTTCAAATAACAATAGAATTTATAATTCTTATTTTAATATAGAAATAAAATAATAAAATAATATATTTAAGGGTAAACTACATGTTTATTACCTAAACTATCATTTTTATTTTGTTTTAATACTTAAATTTTCATTTGTTTCAAAACTATACCTAACTTTTATTTTTTATTTCATTTTAGTATATCCACCGTTAAAAACTTAATGGAACTTTTGCATGTGACATTTTTATGAATAAATTACATCATTATCACTTAATTATATTCTCACTCCTATTTTGATTACTAAAGTTTAAAAAATTTCAACTTAACTACTAAACTTTCAAATTGCTCATATTTTAGTCACTCTAATTTATTTTATTAATAATTTTTATGACATGGCATTTAGTATTATTATTTTATTAATAAATAATTAAAATAAAAAATAAATTTGAAAGTTATAGTGATTAAATTAGGAGTAATTTGAAAGTTATGTAATTAAATTAAAAAATAAACTTCAATGACCAAAATAGTAGTGAGAAGATAGTTGAGTGACGAATGATGTAATTTACCCATAAAAAGTGTCATGTTGTAGCAATTCTGCTAAGTTTATAACGCCGATATACCAAAAATGAAACAAAAAAATATATGTTAAAAATGATTTGAAACAAATGAAAGGTTAAGTACTAAAATAAAATAAAATTGATAGTTTAGGTACTAAACATGTTATTTATCCTATATTTAATAGGAACAAATTATTATCACTCATACACAGATAAATCCTACCACTCGAACATGATAGTTCAAAAATTTTCTTTTTATAAATGTCTTGGATATATATATATATATATATATATATATATATATATATATATATATATATATATATATATATAAACATAGTACAATTTATCTTTTTAATGAAGTGACACAAGTTGAAATATTGTCATCATCAATTATAAATAACTTTTAAATCATATTTCTCTGCATATAACTTGAGTTATTTCAAATTACTTGTATGTAGTACGTACTTATATTTCAGAGTAAGAGATTCAATATTACAATATATAAACAAAAATACAAATACTTAATTTATAGACTTATCAACATATGTATTACATTTATAACGATACAATAGCTACGAAGATAATACATTATTATTTGTAGATACAACATAATTGGGTCTCCGATCGCTCTTATTTAACGAGCTCACCCAGTTTGCAGTGGAATATTATTCATCCAAACATGGCCTTAGTTTATAACATACATTCCTATTAGATAAGCAATGGAGTTTAGGTCAAGAGACTTGGCAGTGGCACAAGGAGAAGAGGTGTTTTTTTGGCAAGGGTAACGCACTGACCATCTTGCTCTTCCATGTTAATGTCTGCCTCTGTCATTCCATCAGGCAAACACCAATCGAAACAATACAAGAGATTTGCGAGGAAAAGCTCCGATGTGACGGTTCCCATGTATATCCCTGGACACACTCTTCTTCCACCTCCAAATGGCAACAACTCAAAGTTTTGTCCTTTGAAATCCGTAGTGTTATCGATAAACCTTTCTGGACAGAACTCTTCTGGGTTTCTCCAGTAATTTGAGTCCCTTGCAATACCCCAAACATTGATTTGGATAAGTGTACCGGTATCAATGTCGTAATTGTTGAGTTTGAAGTGTGAAATGGCTTCTCTGGTGATCAGCAGTGGCGCCGGAGGATGCAATCTTAGAGTTTCTTTTATAATCATCTTGTGGTATTGAAGCTGATCCAGATCAGTTTCTTCAACTCTTCCTTTCTTCCCCACGATGCCTCGGACTTCGTCTTGTGCTTTCTTCATCAAGGTTGGTTTTCTCAATAGCTCCGCCATTGCCCAGATTACAGTTAGCGCACTGGTCTCTATGCCGCCCAAAAACATGTTCTGCAAACCAACCATTAGTTACAACTATGTACAATTAGGGCTAAAAATGAGATTAGTTAAACACAAGTATTATTGAGTCTGAAAATTTTGAAAAATTTAAATTTGAGTTTGATTTTATTGAAAAGATTATAAGTTTAAAATTATCAAGTCAAATTCTATATCAAAAATTGAAATTTCACTCAAACTCAAAAAAACTTGAATTCGAAACATTTTCAAATCAAGCTCGATTGAAACTCGAACCTGAATCTTAAATACATGAAAACTTTATATTGTACTTAAAAAAACATATAAATGTTAATATTATTAATAATATAATTTAAAAAATTAAAATTTTAATATATTATTTTTTTCGAGTTCGTTTGCGAGCTTTTAAAGTCGGGTATCAAATAATTCGTTTCTACTCGTTAAAAATTTGAGTTGAGCTCAAGCTCAAGTCCATTTGAATCGAGTATTGATCAAAGTTTGACTAGTCAAGCTCGGATAATTTATGAACTATCTCGTCTCATTTACAACTTGGAGTGTTTAAATGGTCGGTTCGACCACCAAACCGACCAAATTCTCCAAAATTGAATTAACCAAACTTTTTCTTTAATTATTAAGCGAGCCGAATTTTTTTCTAAATCATTAACCGAATCGAACAAAATTTAGTTAACTCGGTCGGTGACTGAATTAACTGAATATTTTTTATATTTTTAATTAGATTAATTTGAGTTTAATATAGGTATTCTTTTTGTTTGAGTTAAAATCTAATTAGGTTTTGACAATTTAATAGGTCTAGTGTGATTAAAAAAATAATTAGATCTTAATTCTTAATAGGTTTGAATTTAAAATATTTATTTAATATATATAATATTTTATGTTAATTCGATTCATTAATTTTGAAGTGAATTAACCATTAACCGAATATTAAAAAAATATTTAATCATTCTTCGACCGAACTAAGTTTGATGAACAACCATTTAACTAGATTAATATAATTTTATCGATTAATTTAATTTATTTAGAGGAGTGAACACCCTATTTACATCCTTATGTCCAATCTATGCATGGCTGGACCGTCCAACCAAACTCAAAAATCGATTTGATATTATCACAAGTTACAAAAATAGATTAACACCAAAAAAAACTATTTAAAACATAATTTTAAGACTGAAACAAAGAGTTTTAGGTAAACTATCATTTTCAAATGAATTAATTAGTTTGGGCTGTTTTGTCCAGATAAGGTCTAACATGACAAAGAAAAATGATTTTTTTTTCAAATGACTTACCAGGAGAACTGCCTTGATATGATTTTTAGTGAGCCAAGCACGATGACCATGTTCCTCAATTTGTTCCTTTTCAATTCCAAGCATCACGTCAATAATGTCATCTTCATGCTTTGCCCTTCCAGGTTTAAGATGATCATCGATAAGCTGTTGATACAAAGCATCCAACTTACGGAAAACTCCCTCCACTCTTCCATTATGACCTCTTATCCTATCTATAATCCAACCGAACCCCGGAAAGCATTCGTCGTAGGAGAAAGTTCCGACCACGGTCGCGACATCGTGCACCAAATCGTTGAACTTAGCACGATTGAACTCGCTTCCACGGAAGGTCTTGCCGAAAGCTGTTCTAAATATTATGCTTCCGGATAAAGCAAATACCTTCTCCGTCACATTCACGGGATCAGTCGGCGAGGACGATGCCAACTGAGAGATCGAATCCATCAACGATCCGACCTCTTCTTCTCTTACGAACCGAAAAGACTTCACTCTCTTCACACTGAAAACCTCAAGAACACATATTTTCCGCAGTTCTCTCCAATACTCACTGTACGGAGAGAATGCTATGTCTAAATAATTGTACGTAAGCCTCCCCGGACCAGCCAACTTAGGCCTACTACAACAAGCGAGATCATTGACCTTCAACACTTCCTTGGCAGCATCGGCCGATGAAACGATTAACACCGGCATGCGACCGAGATGAAGGAGCATGATTGGACCATATTTGAGAGCAAGTTGGCACAGAGATTTGTGCGGTAGTGCACCGAGCTGGTGCAGGTTACCTATAACCGGCAGCTTGGGTGGGCTCGGAGGGAGATTCTTGGGTTCTTTGTTAACTTGATCGGTCTTCTTCTTCAAGAGTAGCAATAGGGGAAGAAGGAGAAATGGAAGCCAAACAAGTGAAGTAAACAAACCCATTATTGCTTTAGTTTTGAGATTCCTCCACCGTTCATTCGCTCATTTAATGGGGCTGCTATGTCACTGTTTTAGAAGGCAATCATTCACCATTTACTGATTTAGAAGGCAATAATTCACCATTTACTGTTTTAGAGGGCAATCATTCACCATTTAGCCTTTCTTGGCAGGCGAACCAGTGCACCACGTTAGTGTAGCAATTTAGTCCGAATTCTATCCGAGTTCATGTCGATTTGAAAAAATAAATTCGATTCAAATCCGATTATAAACATTGGAATCTGAATCCGAAAAAAAATATTTGAGTCCTAATGGGAGATGAATTAGATATGGATCCTACTGGTATCCAATCCGAGTCCAATCTAAATTCATATTCGATTTGAATTTGATTCGAGTCTGATCCATATTCGATTCTAAATTAAAACATTTTAAATTTAAAGTTTTTTTTTTAAAAATATAGTACCAAAGGCCTAAATATTCATGAGTAAACTACATTGTTTAGTATCTCAATTATCACTTTTGTTCCGTTTTCATCACTCAATTACTATTTTTTCAAAAAATATCTAATGTTTAGTTTTTTTTTTGTATAACCATCGATATCTGATCTATTGATCGATTAATCAATATCGGGTACTGGCAGAGATGAGGGTGACCCTTCCAATCTGACTTGTTCCATCCGCAAACACTAGGCTTCGAACTCTTGACCTTGCTTAAGAGAGCTAATACCTTATCTCATTAGATCAATTGATTGTTAATTCTAATGCTTAGTTTTGATTTCATTTTGATTATCTACATTAAAAAATTAACAGAATTATTGATGTGACATTTTTAACGTCATGATATTCAATAAGATTAGGAGTACTTAGCTCAAAACACCGATTGGTGTTCTTAGATAAACTTCCTACAACTCTTTGTATTAACATTAGAGGGCTCTCTTCTTTCTTTCACTCATCAAATAATAACCAAAAGAAGTTCTAATCATATATAAAGTTGAGAAATGCACTAAAACAAATCTAGAAACATAAGTATACTTTAAGTTATACCTAAACTAACTGCAAGGTTTAAACCCTCTTAAATCTTTCTCATGTTCATGTCTTCAGAAACGAGTTATATCAATCTCATTTTAAAGTTCATAAATTCTTTTTTTTAATATCTTTCTTAAGATGGATTCTCTCTAAAAAAATGTTAAGATAAGGGTAAAAAGCTATCTTTCTCCCTCCCCTCTAATCCCACGTCTTACATAAAAAAATGGAGGGGAATTAACCTTATTTTCCTTCAATGGGTTATTTATGTGATCGGTCCCTATACATTTAACTTCCATATATAATCCCCTTTTTCATAGGCCTAAATGATCCTAATTCTCTTTCAGTGAGACCCAACTTACCTCAAGAGTTCAGTCATGCTCTTAAGTCGGCTCCTAATCATTTTAAATCAACTCTCATACTTTAACTCAAAAATTTAGTTGATTACAAACTTATACCCTAGTCATTACGAAAAACTCATCAAGTCCAATACTACAACTTGAATTAAACCACAAATCATAAATTCTATTTATATAAAGTGACCGGTACTTCTATTACTTCAAATTATTCGTAAGTAATAAATAATTGCATCTCACAGTCAGAGATGCAATGTTACAATATACACAATCATAAAACAACACTTATAAAGCTATCAACATATCCTAGTCATGATGATAGACTTGTCAAGACTAATATTACACCTTCCGTCTTGAATTTAAATCTTGATAAAACCATCGAATTTTATTGAACAACAAAAAAGCATGAAAGTTTAAATCATTTGAACTCTTAATTAAATATATGTGATGATTTGAATAAAAATAATAAGAGTTACAATTTAAAAAAATCAAACGACTAAAAAAATTTAAGATTCATGAATTTAAAAGAAAATAGAAAGGGGAGAGAGATAAAATTGTCTTTCAGTGTAGGACTCCGATAGATATAAAGTCGATCAATCTTGAAATATTCATTACGAATATGAAAATTAAACTAAATTAATTAAGAACAAACAAGAAACAAAAAAATTAAAGAAATAAAGGAACATGAATAAGAAAATACCTTGTATTAAAATATTATGTTTTCTCACGAAAAATGTTAATATGTTATTATATTATAAATAAGATGCCATGTCGTTTTTAAACCTTGTTTTAATGGTATCTGCATAGCACTCTCCACTTCTTTTAATGTTTACTCTTTTTATATCCAATCGAAATGAAAGAAAAAAAATGTTAGCCGAAAACGGTATGCTTCAATTGAATGGTAGTTCAATCATAAATGTTAAGAATTATTACTAACGATGAAAAGTCGAAAACACCCTTCAACATTTTATTATTCCCAAATTCCCATTAATCTATCCAGAAAAGTCACAAAAGAACTTCACATTTTCATGCATAAGAAAGTAAATGAAAAATGACGTGATACACATATTTTATAATTTTTTTAATAATATGTGTGAATATAAGATAATATATGTTCAAACTATTTCTTAATCATTGTAACACATAACCCCTACAGATGCAACTGCTCGAACTCAAGACTTTAGAGAGAACAACACTCCATTTAATTACTGAAGCCACTTAATGGATTCAAATTCTATAAATTATATGATACACAAGTTTCATTATTTTATTAATATGTGTGTAACTCCCTATACCCGACCTATGCGTCAAGACCAGATCTAATGGATTACAATAAAAAAATTTCCCAAGACATTCTTCGATAACTTAAAATCTGAATTATAATTAAACATCTTTAAAAATATAATTAATAGCATCAAAGTTTAAATTCAATAAATTAAAGTAGTAAAAATAAAATATTTTGAAATCAGTACCCAGGCAAGTCTAACATCAGTAATAAAAGCAGTGTTTTCAAAACATAGGCACATGTCACCCAAATTATATGCAGCTCAGAAGATAAAACATTACAACAAAAAGTCACTGTATGAATATGTAGATCCTCCAAGTGCCTGGTACGGGTCGCCTATCCAAAAGTATCTGAAAGAGAGAAATTTGGGGAGTGAGCTAGGGAGCTCAGTGTGTTCCAACAATACATAAATAAACATACAATTTAAATTTCAAAATTAGTTCATCAATAAAGTCATGAAACGACGGTAGAGGTTTCAAAATCAGTTCAGTACCAATATGTGAAAACTTCAGTAGTGTTTTTAGTTTAAATTTTCAGAATCGTCCTCCAACCGAACACCATATGCAGTTCCCAAGAACTGCATCCATAAGGACTTACCCAAGGTCTGAAGGGCGTAGGTGACAACCTAAGGGAGCACCTTGGGTCTATAAGGTCTTACCCTAACCGAAGCGTAGGTGCCTAACTGAGGGGAGTGCCCTTAAGCTCATAAGGACTTACCCAATGCACACAGCAGAGGAACCACCCTAAGGGAGTGCCGTAGGGTCCATAAGGGCTTACCACTAGGCCTAGGAGCCCACCCAAGAGTCGTCTTAGGTCCATAAGGAATTATCAGTCGGTGCTGAACCTATACAAGGATTTATCAACAGCTACCGAACCTTCCAGAGTCTTTATACCAAAACCCAGAGTACCCCGGAGAAACATAGTTTTCAGACAGTAACCAGTGATAGCATGAAATCAGAGTTCAGACATATTTATTCATCAGTAAAAACAATAACCAGATAACAGAAATAAGATAATCAGGCCTAAACTTTAGTAAATCAGAAATCAGGCTTTAAATCAGATAAATCATACGGAATCAAGTCAAACATATAGTCATATTGCAAAGCAGATAAAACAATCATGTGCACATAATTCAAGTAGATATTTAAAACATGTATATGGCACACAAGGACACACCTCGCAAAAAGTATCAGTCCGAAAGATCTAACGAGCACCGGCTTCTATACACTCTTCTGCTGAACGAGAACCTAAGTTATATCAGAACAAGATTATAATAGGAGTAAATATAATAAAATGAAAATTTAACAGGGTTATAGAACTATACGAGTATGAGCCCGCGAACGAGCGGATTAGGAGGAACCAGTTCGAGCAATCGAACGATCAGGAGATCCTCGAGTACCTTAAATATACGATAACAATAATTAGTCATTGACCTTTCGATTAACTTAATTGAATAAAATCACTTAAATAAATATGCACTTTTTGGGTTTACATGTCAATTTGGAGGCTTTTGGGTTTGAATTTGGCAAAACGAACTTCAAAATCAAGCTCAAGACGTTAATAAAAATAAAATAGGACTTTTCGGAAATTTTGACTTTTTCAGTCAAAGTCAACGGTTACACCGATCAGAGTCAACGGTCTGATCAGTCAACGGTCAACTCTGACCAAAGTCAACGGATTGGGTCAACAATTCGAGTCGAGTCAGGTCAACGGTTTGAGTCGAGTTGGGCTGGTACAGGCCGGTCCAGACCGGCTGGACCGGTTTCTAAAAGGATCCAAAGCTAGGGACAAGCCCCACGCACATACGGCGGTGCGTGAACCAATGAAAATAAGTTTGTTCGGCGGTCGATTACTCCCACAACCTCTATCAACCAATTACATTCGATATCTAGCCAAAAATCAACCAAAATCATGCCAAAACTAAAAGAAAAATTAACCAAAATATACCCCAAGCTTACCTACGTCGGTGATGAGGTAAACGAAGACGGTGAATGATGGCTTCAGTCGGGTTTTGAGCGCACGACGATGAGGAGTCTGGCTGTAATAGCGGTGAGGTGAGTCGACAAGCACGACGACTTTAATAGACGAAAAACGAACAGCGGGATCACGGTGGTTTACTCTCTATTTCAGCCAACCGGTGGTCGATTCGGGTCGCTAACGGTTAGGTTGGGTTCGTCGGAGGATGTTGGTTTGATCAGTAGTGAGGGAGCGCGGTATTGGCGGTCGGATCGGAGCGAATTGCGGAGGAGAGGTGGCGGCAACTAGGTTACAATTTGGGGGGAGGGGGTTTTCTGATTTGGGTAATTAAAAAACCCGAAAATAAAACGAATAATATATATAATTTATTATTTTAAACATAAATAGGGTCTAGGTCGATTGGTAGGGGCATGGTCGACCATACCCTAGGTTTATAGGTTCGAGCAAGGTC